CAATTATATATATATATATATATATATATATATATATATTGGGATGCACCGATGTATCCATCGGCCGCCGATATTTATCGGCCGATTTTTCATAAATTTACAACCATTGGCATATCGGCTATATAAGGAAAAAGGCAGATATAACAAATCGATGGTTTATTAATTAACTGCATGAAGGCACTGAGCTGTATAGGCTAATGTCTGTTGCATAATCCTAGAGCTGCTGTCTGCACTTTAATGCTAATCAAATAACGAAAGATCGCACACTATTCTTGACTAAATAACTTTTGTAACTTTCATAAGTGTAGCGGACCTCATCTGAATGATGACCAAAACTTTACTGATGGTTTATTAAGTTTATTACGTCCTTTTTCACTCTAAAAAAATCACCATAAGAGCTAAACAAAACACAGCACGAGAAGTGCACATTAAACTCTCTCTCTCAGTTGCATTATCATCAACATACAACGAATTACACAAAACACTTATTACAACTAACAGTAAACAAATATATACAGATCTCATGCCTTTTCGGGGGGTGCTTAATAAACTGACAAACTTTAAATCCGAAGAAGTGCGTGCTTTCATTACCCATATAGCTCTGTAGACTAGAAACCCCGTCAAAATAAGAGTCCCGCCTTAGTAAAGGAGATCTCATACATATTTAAACTTACAAAAAATATTAAAATTTATACAAAAACATATTAGAAGATGAATCATAATAAAGTCTGTTACAATAAAGAAGGATTAATATGTATTTAATTTATACAGTGAAGTGTTATTTTACATTTGTTTACTTTATTTCTGTACCTGAAAACTGTTAAACCTACCTAAAAAACACTGTTTATTTAATATGTATCTTTGTTCTGTTGTATTTATGTAGGCCTATTAAATTTTAAATGGATCCAATCCATGTTCATTAGAAATTATTTGATGATGCTGCAATAAAACTGCGAGTATAATTTAATGCAGGTGTTTTTGAACTTTGCTGATTTAAAACATGTTCAAAATACTATCTATTTTGATGCCAAAATTTCAAATAAGAGAGGAAGTGACAAATATCGGTATTGGAAACAACCAGTATGTGTTTGTAAAAATCGGTATCGTTATCAAAAAATCCTATCGGTGCATCCCTAATATGTGTGTGTGTGTGTGTGTGTGTGTGTGTGTATATATATATATATATATATATATATATATAAGTTGCTTGCAAGCATCATTATGCCAATTGGGTGACTAAAAAATAAAATAATCTTTGTTTCGACAATGAAAATATAAACAGGAAAAAGACAGATTTTGGCAAATTGTTTTGTTTAAAATATAATTCGAACACTAAACAGTGTGTATTATTAAGACCATAATGAAGTACCATAAAACCATTAATTCAGTTCCAGCAGTGTAGACATGGAAATGATTGACAGACAAATAAACTAAACTAAGATAAAATAAGATAAGATAATTTTATTCAGAAAGACAGGTCATATTTATACAAACAACATCAGCCCCGATGTATTCAGATGTTATGCGTTACCATTTATGGATAGGAAAGAAATATAATTGTTGGTTATAAGAAAGATGTTCATATGTATTTGTCTAGGTGTGGTTTCAGTTTCGCACCCGAAATAGTATCAGCACAGTGTGAATGTGCAAAAGAGGAAGTAAGTGAAGTACTCCTGTTTGAGAGATAAAAGTACAGAGAGTTGAAATAATATTAACATTAATGGAATGAAATAAAAAATTAATCAAATATAAAATAAATAATCTTTGTTTTGACAATGAAACTATAAATGGGGGGGGGGGGGGAAAAACAAATTTTAACGGGTGATGACAAATTTTGACTGTTCTTTTTAAAATGTCAAAATTTTACACTATTACCACCAAGTCTACTGTCTAAACCACAATGAAATAGAATTAATACGTTAGTTTTGTTTCAGCAGTGTAGACATGGAAATGACTGACAGACAAATAAACTAAGATAATATAAAATAAATTAAAATAAAATAAAAATCATTCCAGCAGTGCAGACATGGAAATGATCAACAGACAAACAAAAAAGTTAGGAGCTAGCAAGGCTAACTAAAAGTATAGCAATGCCAAATGTCTTCTGATTAAAAATGAACGATGCTAAAACATCTTTCTTAGATGATGGCGCCACCATAGATCTAATTACGTTTTTTGTATTAGTTTGGCATAATTTCTTAGCTCTTTGTCCAAAGTGTATTTCAAATACTTAACCACGGGGAAATCTTCAATCACAGTCTAGAGTGGAGCTTGTCGCTTTCTCTGTCCGATACGATCTGTTCCTCACTCCCCTCAGGCAGGGCAAGTACTTCCCAGCGGCAGCACGAAAGTCTCTGCGGAGAAAGATGTAAAACACAGGATCCAGCAAGCTGTTAAGGCTCAGAAAGCCTCGTCCTAACTGATAGGGCACAAACACTGCCTTCTCCCAAACGCACGGACTGCTGTGTATCAGCAGTCCCACGTACTTCACACAGCCAATGAAATGATAGGGCCCCAGCACCGTGACAAATACGGCCACCAGAAGGGTGAGCAGACCCCTGATACTCTTCTTCTCTTCGGATAAAAGCGAGTTGATTGCCATCAGCGAGCGGACGGTCTCTCTGTGGAGACCAACAATGAAGCTCAGGGGTATGATGAAGGACACAAGCAGAGTAATCAGCCTGTAGGTGATAAAACTGCCCTCTGAGGGATACTTCTCGATACAAAGAGTATAATTTCCCTGCTTGGGAAAGAGCTTGTCGAACGCAATGGCAGGTGGCACCGCAATTAGAATCCAAATGCCGAGTGCTATCCAGCGAGCAAACTTCAAGTTACGGAGATGCTTGAAACTGAGAGGTCTGGCAATGGCCAAGTGACGTTCTAGAGCGATGATACACATGAAGAAGATGCCCGCGTAAATGCTAATGTAAAAAAACAAACCCATGAACTGACAGCTCCGGGGTCCGAAGCGCCAGTAGTGTCCGTTTGCATAGTAGTCTATCCACAAAGGCAAAGTCAGAAGTTGAATTAGATCTGCGATCAGAAGATTGATGACGTACACGGGCAGGACATTCTCCGACTGGATGAGTCTGTAGAGCCCAAAGAGCGCCAACAGGTTTAAAGGGGTGCCGATGATGAAGAAGATTCCATACAAGACGGGAAGGAAGATGCCGTCTTGACTGAAGTCGATTCCGCAAGCATTTCCCACAATCGCTGGGGCGCTCAGGCTGGTGAGGGCGCTAACATTGAAGTGGTTCTTCATCTTTTGTCTATGACAGAGTGGTATTGTGTTGTTTATACGGTTTTAAATCCTATTCACAAAACAAAACTACTGCCAGTAGCAACGTTTTTATGCAACAGTTTCATTTTTATATGAAGCACCGACTAAATATATGCACCATTATACATGGGAAATAAACATTTACAGAACAAGTAATTCAAAACGCCGTAGGGGAAATTCACTAAGAATGAATTGCAGCATTTTAGTTCCCAATTCACATGTGGAATCATTCAAATCAGGTAACGGCATGGAATATGCCCACAAACGGTGAATTTACATTCATGCATTTGATAGATGCTTTTACCTAAAGATACTACAAAGCCATCCAAGGTATATATTACATTATATTGCATTATATCAGTGGTTTAATTTCATGTGATGCAGGACTATTTCATTAGCACATTTAGTGCCTAGTTAAACTGCACTGCACTTGCTTAACGAAAAAACATATTTACAAAAGTGGCAAAACTCTTCAGTAAATTCACCCTTTAAAATTCTCATTAGGCTAATAACCTAAATCCAAAGGATAAATATGAATAAATCAGAAATGTACTTACCTAATGTGTTCTGATATGAAACTTGAGTTTCACCAAATAACTGCTGACTGCAGAGACATATCAAGCCACTTAATTTCCTACAGGAACATGACCTCATATGATGCAGGGAAAACATAAAAAAAACATAAAAATAAGCATATTTTAGTGTAAATGAGCTCAGCACATGACTAACATTAACTAATGCACAAGAGGAAATGTGTCAGGAGGACATAATGTTACTGCAAGTCTTAGCCAACATTTAACCAACACCCAAATCACTTTTTTTTTGCCTGTTCGACCAGTAAATAGAAACGGTTGCACTTGACAATCATCTGTACAACCAAATTTGAGCCATATGCATTAAAAATAAATTAATATATAAATAAATTAAATAATTTAAAAAATATTTCAAGACATAAAGATGCACTTTAATTTTTGTTTTACATTGACTGATGCAGTGATCGCCTTGGACATTTCTGACACATAATGTGAATTTAGCATGAAACTTTAAACTTTTTTAGTCACCCCTGCCATTGTAGAAATGCTCTATATTAAAGGTATTATTTTTGCATCAAAATAATTTGTTTTACTTAATTTTATTCATATAAAATGAATAATTATAATGAATAATTTCATTAACTGTATTAATTTGATTCATTCAATTTAGACCTGGACCATGTAAAATAAACAACACTTTTATTGAGAAAAAAAAAAGGATTTGAAAACAAATAAATGGATTTCATTAATCCATCAAATCCAGTAAAGGTAGAGAGTTGTAAAGGTAGTGACATTTTGAACCACTAACAAGAACTAAACATGAGAATAATTTTTAGTGTGCACTGGTATTTGATAAAGCTGAGAGAGAAATTTAAAGGCATGTGTTGTGCATTAGGATGAATACTGTCTGTTCATGTGTCAAAAAAAAATTGGTTAAAGTGATGTCAAAGACATGTACAGTACAGTGCTGGTGTCAGACAGTGAATTGCATCATCTTCATGGAAAGCTGCTTGGCATGAACATGGAGAGTGAAGGGTAGATTAAAGCTTGTAGCATGTAAAACCAGTTGAAAGTTTTTTTAGGAACCTAAAAGCTAGCCCTACCTTAGACATTCATAGTATTTTTTTTTTCTTGCTGTCCATTACTGGTCACACTTGAGAGGAGAGATAATATACTAGAAAAACTAGGCATGAGGCATTGATGGAAACCTGCCTACCCTTGGAAACAACATGCATATTTCATACTCGCAGGCCAGGAAGTATAAAACTGCTCAGCTTCTATCTGCTTTTGAAGGTTTTATCAGTCCCCAGTTGATCTAGAAGTCTAGGTAACACTCTTCAAGCAGTCTGAAGTGACATTTCTTAGGGCTGTTGGCGAGTCCAGCCTGAGGGAGTTCCTCCAGCAGCCTCTGGAACTGAAGCAGATGTTTGGCTCAGCCTTGGGAGTGGATAAATACATTGTACATTTATTGTACATTTCATATGGTGATTTCATGTGGGGATCTTTGAATCCACAGGTCCTTTGAAAGAAAGAATGGCATCACCTGGTAAAGACATGGGATCACAAAGTCATGGATTCAATCTCTAGAGAACACACCAACAGATTATAATAAATACAGGAATTTTCAATTTTTTTATGCCAAGGACCCCCAAATAAGGTGATCTCATTAAAAATGCAAAATTATATAATTGGCTTTTATATTTTTACTGTAAAGAGTCAATGTAAATTAATACAATTTTATATATATTTTTATATATTTTTATTATAATTTATCTTTTTTTACCCACTATTAATGTTATAAGTATAAACCAGAGAAGCATTTTCAATTCAAATCAAATGTATCTTAATTTTTTAATCAAAGTATATTCATAATAAATACTGTTCCAATGCATACATTTAAAGTAAATGTAGAAGAATGCCATTTGCTCACCACAGACTCCTAAGCAATTTTGCCAAAGCAACATTGCACAAGTGTAAAATTGTCAAAACTGGCACCGCCGACGTCTGACCTAAAATCAGTTAGCTGTTTGTTATGAGTTCATTCACTTGCAGATCAATAGGCAACAGAAAATAACCCTAAGAGGAGTGAACTTTCAATAAAACTATTGATTTCTTTGCTGAAAAGACTTATAATATGTCAAGGCGCAGCTTCGTCGATGTACACAGCTTGGTTTAAGTGTCAGGACTGGCCAAATGCAGTTTGAGCAAAATAGCAAAGCAATCTTCAATGTTCCCGGGGAGGAACAAACGAGCACAGTGCACGGCATCCTTCTGTCATAATCGTGTCCTTCGCTCAATCAATAGCAAAACTTTCAGAGACTTTATAAAAAGCCATTGATGTCTGGAGATAATGCAATATCATAATCCTGTGGATTTTTCTCTCCTCGGCCCGACAGATGCACTCATGCTATTAACATACATCGATAATTTAGTACACAGGTAACTGAATTTTCTCTTTAATTAGCAAATCAATACGGTGATTGCTTTCTGCTGTTGTAGTGAAAGGTCACTGGTGGGTCTTTGTATGCTGATTGATTGAATTTACATGGATTAAAGCAATTTAGCAGAGGTTTAACATTCATCTGTGGCCAGACCTGTTAAATAAACCCATTGCAGGTGATCTTAATGCTGTGACACAATGGCCCCGGTGATTTATGCCCAAACTGTAAGCGCTCTACCTCCGGAGGTCCCATCTGCAGGGGTTGCTTGCATGCAATATATAAGAGGTGAAACTGTAGTTGATGCATGAGCACTCGGTGAACTAATGGGATTTGGCCTAAAGAAAACAGCATGACAAAATGCATTTGCAGAGAATTCTGCCTCCACATTTATTACAAGGTCGCTTGCAAGACGTAAATGAAAACGCTGGCAGAGGAAAGGGCTTGTTCCCAGTGTCTTTGACATAGTAATTTTATAGGTATGCTTTGCTGGGACTTCTTACAGTGGTGACCTATTTTATTTGGTTGCTGTTTTGCTAAAAGTGGGGGTGTTATCATAATTGTACTTTAAAAGTCTAGACCGAACATGGAAATATGTTGAATCTTTGAACATTTACCTGCATTATGAACATGCTGTAATGTCAGTCTTCATAATGGAATCATTAGTACATAGCAATCTAAAAACTAGGGCTGCCCCCTAATAGTCGACTAATCGTTAGTCGACCAGAAGAGGCTTGGTCGACCAAAATTGTATTAGTCGCTTAGTCGCAGAAAAAGTAAAAAATAAAAAAATACACAGGGCGAAGTCACGCAGTCCGTGACTAACAGATCGTTAACGGCTAGTCTATGGTAATACAACACATCAGGTAGGACATCCAAATGCTCGCCTGTCATTCATCGACCTCAAATATGGCTTATCATATGAAATATGTAAGTATTAGCAACGTTACATGGCCACTGAATCCAATGTTAACTAGAGAAATGTGCGCTCTTTAAGTGTGTGTGCGGAGTGTGGGAGTCGAACAGTAGCGCTCGCTGCAGGACAGATGGAGGCGCCGGTGTGCTCACTTACTCTTAAAATACTACCTCATTTTTGGTCATACAGATAAGAGTAATACATCTTTCAAATCTGTAAAGACTCTACGTTTATTTGTGTGCGCTCACAATAACAACAAAACACGCTTTTGTAAAATAATGAAAGCAACATGATGCGCTTTCTGCCGTCTCAGTCTCCGTGAATTTGAGCGCGAAACTCTGTGTATATCTTTGCCTCACAGATGTTAAAAATATATCTATAGAGAGTGTAATGTCTACTTTCAAATGAACCAATTCAAATGGAAGAAAAATATTCTCAAATTATGTAATCCGTATGAAACCTGAATACAGGCGCATCACTACTGCGGAGATGACGAGTCAGTGTCGCTGACTTCATCTCTTAAACCGAGAGCAAAGAAAGCACTTGTTTATCAGTGAATTATTAAAATGTTAATGCAGTCTCCTTACAGTTTTGCCCTGACACATTCATAATCACTTGCTTCTGCGGTGCACTGTGGCAAGCTTTTTGTGGCAAGTTGGTCTATTTATTTCTTCTTAAATTTTGTGACTTTTTCTTATTTAGAAAAAACAATTAATAGTCGAAAATAAAAAATTTCGACACATTGACCCTTATTGATTTCCATGCAAAGCCAAAAATCAACACTGGAAAACATTAAAGAGTCTAGTAAAAAAACTGGAATTTAACACAACAGGAGGTTTAAGTTAAAGGACTCCAAATTAAAATTCTGTCATTATTAACTAAACAAATAATTACTTTCCATCAAAAACAAAAGGAGATGTTTAGGAGAATCACCTTCATTTGAAATGGAAAAGATCAGTTTGGACATTCTGCAAGATAACTCATTTTGTGTTTTACAAAAGAAATAAAGTGAAATGAGTTTGGAAACAACATAAAAGGAAAAGGGATAGAAGAAAGTTGTGATGGCCTTTATTCATTGACTGTTCTGGTTATATCATGCTGTCTGTTCAGGCTCATTCATCTCACTAGAATTACTCTCAAACCTCATTTTCTTTGTAAATGTCCTTATGAATATTTACAAAACCTTCAGCATGCATTAATGGGTTGTGGAGGACTTTACATATTTGATATTTACAACTTCTCCAAATATTTTTTTAAGGAACTCACAGTGCCGTGTTTGTTTTGTCTCCATCAGGATGTTAATTATAGTGTCCTCTCTGCAAATAAACGGAAAAAAAGAAATTACTATAAATAAGCATTGATATAAAAGCAATCTACAATTAAATTGCAAGTCATATTTAATATTAAAAACACAAAAAGAAAAAATGTAAACTATAACACTGAATTCAAAGAAAAAAATGTGTCCAACTGATGGAGAAATTATGTTGCACTTTCTAAAAATAGTGTGTTGAAAGTCAAACTCTCTTACTTTAGAGAACAGATTAAATAGAGAAATTCCAATCCAACTTCTGATGTAGGCCATGTCCACACATATACGGGTATTTTTATAAAGGGAGCTTTTCCTTCTTCCGTTTTAAAAAAAATCTCAGTCCACATTAAAACGCAAACGCATGCTATGAAGCACTGTCAACAGCATGCCAAACCAACAGGTGGCGATATAATATCAACCGTAAAGCCATGTTGGCCAGTCAGAAGCCTGAAAAAGTTTCCATTAGGCGGAGATAACAGCGCAGGCTCCGACGTTACAAGCCAAAAACTCAGGTTTCGCTGTCTGCACGATAA